AACTGGAGCAGCTCAAATCTGGCAAACCCCTCAGCTCTGTTGGAAGCCCACTGTTGTTAAGGCATTGGTGTCATCCGCTGCCTTTGATTAATACTAGGCATACGCATTTACACATTTCTGCCTAGCAACTGCAAGTCCCGAAAGCTGCAAGGTCTTCATGTCAAAGCTCAGCATAACATCACGGTAACATGTAACGTTTGTAGACATAACTATCTTGTAGTTATAGCCACCTTTGTTGCAGGTTAGGCTTGTTTTACCACGTTCTCATACATCTTCCCCAACTCCAATCTGAGAGCTCAGCGGCTAACGCCTCTGGGAACGGTTAGCAATTTGCTGAGCATTCCTGTATAGCAAGTTGCGTGAAACATCAACCAGCAAAGACAACTTATTTTCACACTTGCTGCATTTTTAATAGTCCAATTAGCAACTTTAAAAGGGTGCTTTCCATTCGATCTCAGAAGTCGGGAAATCCGAGTTCCCGGTCTGACGCGCCCTCGGTAACGTCCCATGAAGTCGGAATTCCGAATTGGAAACTGCGAGAAACTTTAGTGGCCCCAGTTACAATCCAGCATGGCTGCCACGTGCATCAACAGTAACGTTCAAGCTCCAACTATTGGGTTTAAAAGCAGCTTAGTCCTCTTTTAGTGTAATTAAATCAATCACACTGGTAGCATCATGCAAGTTCTGTCTGTGGGTACCACACTGATGCGGTTTATGGAAACAAATGTGGTGTTGAGTTTGATGCTATGATTCTCTCAGCCAGTTCAAACACGGGAGGACTGTCACACAAAAAAATCCAATTAAGAGGCTGATAATGATCAGGCTCGTTATTATTCATCAAAGTACAAAGATTCACCTCACGCTTTTTGTTTTGTTGTGGCATCCAGAGTCCCTCTTAGAGAGTCTCTGTATCACTGCCAGCTTCCCCCGTGCTGAAGATGACCTTTGACGTCCCTTTGGGGGGCGTGGACAAAAATGCAATTTCCCCACGACGATCAATAAAGTGCCACATTAGCGTCCTCTAAATGGGACGTCCTGTAATGTGTCATAATCTGTGTCATCTATCATCTTGTCAGAGTAGGAGAGTGGGTTTCTTCCTCTCCTTAGATAACGGCTCTTTATTGATTGATCCAACGTGTCAGCTGTTAGACTCCTTTCAGGGTCGGAGGTTTTCTGACTTTGTGTTTTTTTTTTCTTTATTCTGTTTTCTCAGTTCTCCAATTTCTGTAATAAACATAAATGAATGGTGTGTTTTCTGAGAATTTTTACCTCTTTTTATCTTTTCCCTTTTCTGCTATACTACTGTCACCATGGTTGAATGAAATCTTTTTTTTCTGACGATTTTTTAAACGTTCACGTTTTGTGTGTTCCTCTTTTATTCTGTTTTTTGTTTTCTGGTCAACTCTTATCAGATTTATATTTGCATTTTCCACTAAATGCCTCTATCTTTTCAAACGTGTTCATCCATGCATGTCGAGGTTTTGCCGAGTCTGTTTATGTTTAAATGTTTAAAGGAAGAACGTCTGACTTCCCTCTCCCATCGCATTCACACAAATGAGTTATCAATTAGAACTCACCATAAATAAGCACCATTAAGCGCAAGCAGCGGACAAAATTGTTCTTTGCTCGAGCTGCAGTTGTCCTGTGTCCTGCATTGTCGTGTTAGCATGTTAATGTTAGCGCTCTTTAGTTACCTCGTAGCTTCATGTTGCACATAAATGACCGTGATCTAAAAACGCTTGTGTGAAATCCAAATAATCAGTGAGTATGTTCTTCTAGTTCTTGACTCAAACAGCTTTTATACACAAGGGGAGGAGCCGGCCGTCCCGTCTATGTAAACACGGCTCTCACAACAACACAGCCAGCGGGACTCGAGCTTCACGCTCATTGTAGACAGTCAGGACTCAGAGACACATTTACACAGCAGAGACTGGATATCTGCTGGATTTATGTGTAAGTCGCACATTGTTCTTTTAACAGGAATTATTATTATTTTATAAAAGCTTAGTCTTTGTTTTTTCAGCTTCTTCTTTTTGTTTTGTAGTCTCTATTTGTCTGTGTTCTTTAATCTCTCTGTTTTTCAGTTGTATAATAACATGAACGTCCAATGAATAGTTGGCTGCATGCAAAATGAAATATTACGATGGGAACACAAAATTACAAACTAAATTGCCCCCGCACACACAAACACACAAGCAATCTCACGCTTAAAGACACGAGCACAGGAGGAGCCAGAGACCGAACCACAAACCGTGAGAATAAGCCACAAAATAACCCTCCCCAAATACTGCATAAATTATCGTGCATTTGACAACAGTTTGGATGGAGTGGAGGCCTTTTTTAAAATGTTTCCACACTGTTGTACACAAAGACTTTAAAAGCTGTTTGTGTGTAATTCATTATTCTTTTGCTTTTGTGTCTTTCTCTTGTCACGGGTAGAGACAAGACTTTTAGAAATACATTTAACTTGAGAAGAAATGACAAACAGCTGTGATAAATGATAAATTAACAAGAAATAAGCAGACTGATCAAACCCCTAGTGCAGACGACTAAATAACACAAACTGTCTCAGAGCTTAGGACAGCAGCAGGAGGAGTCTGCTATTAGCCTCCTACAAAGCTTCATGATGGTACCTAAAAACCAATATTAACTGAAAAGGGATTTAAAAACAGAGCCATAGAAAACCAATTTCCACCAACAGCAAACAAACCGGGGTGTAAAAAAAAAAAAAGCCCCTCAGCTTTTCTCCTTGCTGCAGAAAAACCCATTAAATGTGTGTGAAAGGCTCGGTGTGGATCAGTTCTGTGAATGCATGTCGTGAAAGCGAGGGGAGAGAGCAGCAGCCAGAGACAAATCCTGGCAGAGAAGGTGTATCTCTGGTGGGGGGAGAAAATCCCACAAGAGCAGGGAAGCAGAAAAACCTCCACAAAACTGAGCATCTGTGCTCCTGTCGCAGGTGATTCTTCTAAACGACGGGAGAAGTGCCACCTCATCGTTGTGGTGTGAAGCCACCGCCACGTGCCAGGAAAAGAAAAGAAAAGAAGACAGATAGATTTGACCCTAGTGGCAGAGGAGGAACGTCTGGTGTTGCATAAGACGTGTGTAAACACTCTTTATCCATCTCGTCTTTTTCAATCGAGCATCTGCTGTTTGCACTGTGGATTATTTAACCGTTTGAGGGACTGGGAAGCCCCGGCGTAATTAAATATGGATTTATTTATGTACTTTGGTTGTTGACTATCAGGGGTACACTGGTGGTTACCATTACAGGTACTAACAAGAGGAGGGAGGAGAATAATTATTGGATCAAATTCAGATGAAATAAAGATTGTGCATGTTTAGTTTCTATGAATCACAGCTGTTTAATTGGTTCTAAAGATACAGGAGCCTCTGACAACAGATACATTAGATGTAAAGAAGAAGAAAATAAGCTGTGCCAGGTTTTAATTGGGTGGATTTTTTTCTTAAAGGGGAACTCACATCAAAGGATTGGAACTACATAGAAAAAAGAAGAGATGTATAAAGCCTTTAATGTGTCCAGAGTGAGCGGTGAGAAATCTGATTAATTGTGCGATTTGGAGGCTGAAGAATACAAGTTTGAACATGAAGAACCAAAGATGTGGAGGGATGAAGAAGTGAGCTCATGAGACCTCTGTAGGCGTGCTCCACACAGCTCAAAGCTACATGAGCAGCTTCTAGCCCGCCAAGCGAGACGTACGCTGAGATTTGAAGTTTCTTAGATTGATGTGTATGATCCAAAGGCAACTTCAAAAGTCAAACTGATGATACAAGTGTGATACAAGAGTCCAGTTATGAAGTGTGTTTCAGTATTTACAATGTTCCAGGACTGTGTTATGATGAGAATATTCAGTCTTTCCACAAGAGGACTTGATTACTCACCTTCGATTCCTTATGATGGCTGTTTTAATGTGTCTTATTTGAAAAAATGGTTCATAATCCACTTTAAAAAATATTTTTTTAAGCTTTTTCCCCTCAGAAGTACAAAAAATAATCAGCAGATGATGAATTTGTTGAATAAGTTGATGTGTAACCATTGCTGAAAAATCTCAGGTCCTGTGTTGCAAGTTTTGTCCAACCAACACTCCCAAAGACTAAGATAGAAACCAGAGATTTTCTGGCACACATATTCATGAAACAGCAAACATTCAACTGTCACATTAACAGTAAACTTTATGTTACCAGGAACCAATAAATGGACAAATTATTCCAACACTAATCATCCTATAGGTTGTATTTTTGTTCGTCAACTAGAGGCTGACTTTGTGTTGTACGATATTCAAACTTTAACACCAGCAGCACACAAAACACTCACACTATTAAACGTCACTGTGAAACACTCACAGCTCTCTCTCTCTCTCCTCCTCCCTCTCTCTCTCTCTGGGTTTTATTGTGAGGTTAAGTGCTGTGATTTTTTTTTCTGCGTTCCCACTTTCCCCTGAACCCTTTCACTTGGAAATTGCTCACTGAAATGAAAGAGGACAGTCGTTTTCCAAGAATGACTTCAGAAAAACTCCCACAAAAGAACACAAAACTGTTTTGTTTAACAGAATTACCTCGGTGAAGATTGTACCACCAAAGAAGAAGAACTTTCCCAGTAAGAGAAAATCTAAAAAGATTACGTCTGTGTCTCTTTACTTAATAAAACGTTCTTTTTTTCTTACGTTCAGTTTTGTCGCAGATGAAGCTCAATTTGCTCTTCATTCTAAAATAAACAACAACATGCACCTTCTCAAATATGATTTGGGCGGCAGGTGCCTAGTGGTAAGTTTGCACGCCCCATGTACAGAGGCTGTAGCCCTAGTTCGAACCCGACCTATGGCTCCATTCCTCTCTCTCTCTCTCTCTCTCTCTCTCTCTCTCTCTCTCTCTCTCTCTCTCTCTCTCCACTGTCCTGTCGCTAAAATAAAGCCATAAAAAGTCCCCTCTTTGAATATGATTTTTCCCCTGTATACTTGTATGAAATGATGCCTTGCACCCACCTTTTCCCCAGGGTGCTGAGTGGCATGCTGAGGCTGAGCTGAGCTGGAGGTTTGCGGTTTCTCGGGGTCAGTTTCGCGGCCGCGGGTTCCTTCTTCGGGGACTCGGCTACACGAGCCGGGCTGGCTCCAGGCTTGGTGTTCAGGTCCTTCAGGACGTCGTAGTTGATCTTGGTGGAGATCTTTTTCTGCTCCAGCATCTTCTCGATGGCTTCGTCTGCGGTGTTGGCTCGGATCGGGGGCCGCTTCCTGTTGGGTCCTCTGGGCTGATTTGAAGAGTACAGGGGACAGAGTCAGAAAAATAAATCATTTTTTAATGACTAGTCATGACGAGATGAGTTGATGGCACCATGACTACTATAATATGTAAAAGCATTTAAAATTCATGGTTTGGTGTGCAGCTTAAAGGGATACTTCACCCGTTGAAAGATGAATCTGTATTTACATTGGGTCATATATGTAGAAATGTGAAATACATTTTGAAGTTGGAGCCTTCTTGGCCGAGAAAAGGCAGAAAGTGTCTTTTTGGCTCATGTTGATGAAAGACACCAAATCCCAGAATGCACAGCACCGCAGGCCACTCCCACTAAGGTCCTCTATTTCAGAATCAGAAATACTTTCTTAATCCCAGAGGGTAATTCGATCGATGGGAGTGAGTTCCCACCCACTGATCTGTGATTGGTCCGTAGCTTCAGTGTTAGAAAATATGAGGAACTAGCGTTGTAGTTTCACCTCGCTAACAGCAACAGCTTCCAGTGACGCAAAAATCATCATTTTGCATCACTGGAAGCTCCTTTTCAGACTCAGAAATACAAAGATTTCACATCTCGGGGGAAAATGAGGGCGGGATGCACGACCATTCAAAAATACTACCAGGTTTCTAATGATACAAAGCTTAATGCAAATGGGTGAAGTGTCCCTTTAACACTACAAACAGCTCATGATTAAGACCTTGTTGTCGATCCAAATGAACTCCAGTTGTTCTCCGCAGACAAGGAAACATTTTGTCCTCATATTAAATCATAAAGGTCCCACATGGGGAACTTTTGCCCTCTAAAAAAAAATATGTCTGAGTAATTTCAGAGCAGCACAGGGACATCTCTGCAAGCACATTCACAGCTGAACACATTCTCCTAATCAGCAATTTATCTCAATTAAGACAGCAGATTGGGGTCGTCACCCAGTGCCAGTTATGAACATGTTCACCTTGACCTCCATCCAATCCACACCCACAGATTACTTCATTTTCTCTTTTACGAAAAACAAACTTTTAAACACATTTCATGCAACAATGACATAGAAACTAAAAAAAAATCCTCTTCCCTCAGCTGAGGGTAAATTAACCCTGACGGCAGCCGGTTATCAACTCAGGAAGTTCTGTGTTGAGACTACAAAAAGGAGTTCTCATTTTGTCACCGGTAAGTAGAAGACGAGTGCACTCTACTTCATGTATTTATTCATCGAGTCGTTTGTTAGTTTGTGTTTGGTTGGATAAGTGCTGTCAGGAGGCGGCATGTCTCATTAAAGGTCTGTTTCACTGCAGATGATCCAGCCAGTTAAACCAGCCAACAGATGTAGGGACGATTAAAAACGTATTTAAAGTGCCAAAACCAGTAATGAGAAATGAAGGAGTACCAGTTAAACACGACTTACCGCCTGTCTGTCTGTGTTTACGTCATCCGATCATCTGTTTGACTCTGCATCTGTCTTACTGTCTGACTCTGTTTACCTGATGATTTTAGACAGCTCCCTGTGTACGTACCGGCTCTGACACTCTGGTAACCTTCATGTTTAGAGTATCTCAAACCGACTGCTGTTACCTTCTTTTCTTTGTAGATCCCGAGCTCCTTCTCCTTCGCTATCTTTGCTTCCTTTTCTGGAAGAAGAGACGAGAAACAGTCTGAACACAACCACACACTCTTGAGATAACAATAACAACAAGACACGAGCGAGGAAATCACCGCACAACTCAAGGCGATTGGGGTTCAGGTCGGCTGATAAAACAGAGAAAGACGACAAAGTACCTTTCTGCTCTTTGAGGTAGTCGGAGTTTTCTGCCATCCAGAGCGCCGTCTTGATTTGGATTTCTCTGTCGCTCAGGAGATACTGCAGAGAGAGGAAATTAATGGAAGAAATGATTGTACTGGGGGCACTGGTAGCCTACTGGTTAGTCGTGCACCCCATGTACGGAGGCTGTAGTCCTTCAAGTCCTTCTGCATTTCATAAAAGACGGATACTATACGGTGCTACAGTTTATCGTCCACAAATATGTGTTGGACTCCATCAGTTCCTCGTCAAACACTGACTTTTTAAAAAGTATTTAGTGTGAAAATTGTTGTAATCATCAAATCAGAATCAGAAACTTTATTAATCCCAAGGGGAGATTTGGTAAAACAAGAATAGATACACTGTATGTACATTTCCACTTCTCTCCAGCTTGTTAATATTTCCTTCTTTTAAAATACAACTGATGGAAGAAGTCTTTAACTATTTATTCTGTTTGAGGAGTTCAGCATCTTTGGCGTTCCACTTGCTCGCTCGCTCTCTGTTGACGATGTGATGTTGTGACGGTCTAAACATTTAATAAATGTAAATACATTTTCTCTTAGCTTGTTTCTTCTTCTATTTATCTGCATAATTTAGGTTTTTGAGGAACAAAACTTTCCACAATGTTTAGTCAGCCGGGGAGCGTTCTTGTGGATTTTCTCAGTTGAGTCATTGAATTGATTTTTACAACATCAAACTAATGCAGAGAAGAGATTCAACACCGAGACAAATGTGAATCTTAGAAATCTTGTACAACATTTTAAATGTTTGATAACTGTAAGATTTTTTTTGTTTTTTTTAATCTTTGGGGGAGGGGTGTTGTAAGATTAGACAGATGTGTCCCGTCATGTCTCTTGTCAGCTTCTTGATGACTCCATTTCTTTGTGGATCATTAAGTCTCCATCTTTCTATCTCCAGTGTCGATCTAAACGTTCTGTGACACACCGGGCTCATTCTGTTACATTTCATCGTCCCAATCAGATCAATAAATCAAACTCCTCTTCAGTAGAGGGGATGTAGTGAAGAAGCTTTTCTCTGAGGGTTTTTTTTTTTGCAGCACATGTTGGACTGTGATGCGTTCAGGTGCTGTGGACCTCATTAATCAGCAGGTACGTACCAGCTCTATCTCTCTGTCATCGATCCCGCTCAGGTCCAGCTCCCCGCTGTCAGCGGCGCCATCTGTCACAGAGACAAAAAAATAACATCGGACACACTTTAGACATTTTGCTGTGATGCACATTTTCATGGCTGCACCCCTCCCCCCCCCTCCCCCCGCCCCCTCCCCGTCCCAGAGGGGTGAGACAGGAAACAACAGCTGGTTTGGACACAAAAAAAAATGAAAACATCCTGCTGCTTCTCTTCCTCGAGGAAGTGCTGCCGATGCCTCTTCCATCGAGGGATAATCAGCAAATAAAAACGCACTGTGACTGCTGATAAGACGTTAATGAGCTTAACTGGCGTTAAAGCTGATCTACCTTTAACACAATTTTCTCTTCAATTATGATACGCTCTCTAGATTGTGGCCACGCTTCACTCCGAAGAAGGGGGAAGATGCTGAAACGTCAATTTGCATTTTTCATGCAGGGCCGCCTCGGAGACGTGCTCCCACTTCTACCTGAGAGTTAAACAGCCTTTGTGTGCGCTCGGTTCAATTGTGGAAGAGAAAAAGTTCAAAGGAAATGAGATTGACTTTGATAAATGAAACAAAAGGGGAGAGCGAGGAGCGGGTGCAGGCAGAAGAACTTCACAGCTTTCACTCGAAGAGATCCTCCACCTTGATTAGCGACTCTTCTCTCTTCCTTTCACACGTCAGACAGTCAATCCAAAAGGAGGAAAAGTTGGAGAGAAACGTTTTAAAGATGAGAGTCGTTTAACTTCTGTCATCTTTTTGAGGGCGCTCGCCGGGGCCCCTCCCTCCTCGAGTTCAAACTCCCCACAGGGCGGCAGCTTCAAAGACGTGCCACCTGAGTCCACAGGCAGCCTTCCTGCTTCATTACGCAGAGACAGGTGAACAGACAAGACAGGGGAATAGACGAGGGAGGGGAGTACACACCTTCCCCAGACGGTAAAAGGGTGTGTTCTCCCAAAGTAGAAGGCGGCGTTGGGGATAATCTAGTCAGCCATTTGAGTGCGGTTAGCAGATTGCTTCAAAAAAAAAAAGAAACCACTCCAGAGGGAAGAGACAGGTCAGTCGCTATCTGTCGGGCCCAGCCCTCTAAGAAGTTCCTCTCCGTGAAGTGTGAGGGGGGAGATAAGATGGAGACAAGCCCTGGGAGAGATTGGCAGCTCCAGGAGGCGGTGAGGCAGCGAGACTAAGAGCTGATAACACCCGTCCAACCCTCGAGAGACGAGGAGGGAGGAGCAATTACCGAGTTATTATTCAGCCGAGGCTTTGATATATCTACACAGGCTAATTTGATCAAACCCATGAAGATGTTCTTGGAGGCTGTGCAGAAGAATTTTTGCAGACCTGAGGATGCAGACATTTAAATTGGCTGACCATATGTGCAAGTTACAGTGGGTAGTATGAGGCAGGATGTAGATAAAAGACCAGTCAGAGGGCAGGCAGGGACGAGATGTGGCAAAGGTTATGGTTAGGATTTGAACACTTTTCAACAGAGGAACAGAAATCCTTCAGCCACCTGGCCCTCACCGGTGGAAACACTTGAAGGCCAAAATACAGGATTTGAACAAAGGTCACGGTCACAACAGAGCCGAGCTGTGTTGAATATTTCTACAAACACTAAAGAAAAGAACCGGGAGCTTTGAACAGATATTATTCCATTTTTTTAAAATATCTATATTAGTGAAATGTAAACATTGCAGACAAAATAAGTCAAACATCTCAGGATATCCATGTTTAAAAGCTTTATATGTGATTTTTTGATCCAGCAGATGTCGCCCTTGAGCACCAGCATGAAACCAAAACAACTCGTGCTGCATTGTTGTGTTAGCATGCTAATGCTAGTGATCTTTATTATGCTGGTATCTTCACACTGCATGTAAATTTACCTGAAATGAGCGTGATCTAGAAACACAGTTAAGCAGTGAGTACAGTATGTTATTCTTCTTTTCTCTAGTCCCTCAATTAAACAACTTTTATACACGAGGGGAGGAGTCAGCCGGCCGTCCGGGCGATGTAAACAAACTGAAGATGGGACTTCAATATCTATATTAGTGAAATGTAAACATTGCAGACAAAACAAGTCAAACATCTCAGGATATCCGTGTTTAAGTAGGGTTGCACAATTCTGGGAGTTTTCGAAGTTGGAAACTTTCCATGGGAATAAACGGGAATTTACTAAATTGAAAGGCGGCCCTTAGCAGAGAATTTAAAAATAGTTGGGGAAAATATATTTAAGCATAATCTTGACTAAAAAACAACTAAATTTCATGGAAGTACACTTGAATATCGGTGCTATTCCTCAATCACATGCACATAGCACACTGCTTACTGCAGGACTATTGAGGCCACGCCCCCTACATGCATCACATGCACAGATGATTTCTAGAACCCTGGATCACAACTTTTGACCACAGAGCCCAAGACTATTAAAGCCCGTGGACTACATAGAGTGAAGTAAGTTTTGATGATATTATAGGGTAATATATTTTAAAAATAAAAATATGATTATTAGTATTAATACGATTTGGAATATATTCAAAATTCCCGAGCTTATCTTTCCATGTGAAGTCTCCAGAAATTTACTGGACATTTTCCACCCCTCAGCAACCCAATGTTTAAGGCACACAAACTTTGCCAGGATGAAATAGTAAACGTTATAATAGAGATCACTATAAACGGTAAGTGCTAATCTTGATCAAAAAGGCGACGGGTTCATTGGAGGCTGTGACAGGATGGTCTGATCATGACACATAAACAGTCAAATAAATGAGACGTCTCCTTTTTTAACAGAGATCCTTCATTCATCCGGCCTACAGCAGTGGAAACACTTTATACTTTGTGTCACTCTGAATTACACAAAATGGATTACATCACCCCATTAGCAGGAGAGAAAAAGTGGCCACAACGTGCAGCGCAGTAACAAAACTACTGAGAAACCGAAAGCAGCTCCCTGATGACCTGACACACAGTGAGGAAAGAGTTTCCTCTTCCCGTGCAGGCTGACAGAAGCCCGAGGTCTTTTGGCAGCCGCGCAGTTACACAGATGATCAACTCTGCCTGAAATAAAAAATAAAAAAAACACAGGGTTCCCCAAACATGTTTTTCTTTTTTCTCGTCTGAGGAGCTTTTGTTCTCCAACAGAGAATCCTGCAGGAGGAAACCTCCGACCTCACACTGAAGGAGGAGGAGAGGGAAGGACCCGAAGCTCAGAGACAGTTCATTATGAGAGAATGAATTAATTTTAAAGAGGGAGCGAGGACCTGTTAGGAGGGGAGAGAGGGAGCGATGGGTGATGTGTGACTAAAAGATGGAATGGCTCAGACTAATAATCATACAGTCGATCTGTCCTGGCTGACAAACGGCTTTTAAAAACTTGAACATAAAACTGTTATACCAGCGCCTATTTAATCTAAACAACAACATTTTGAAGATTTCTTGACCGTCAGTGCTGATCTCTAATTATTTGTCTATGTCCCCCCCCCCCCCCCCGCCAGATTCATGTGTCCCTCTCTTAATAAGGTCGTAAAATATTTTTGCATATTTTAGAAATACTTTCATTCCTTTTAAATGTGGATTGAAGAGCAAAGTATCGACCTTTGCACATCAATTTCAAAAGACAGGCGCGTAGGAGAGTAACGTGTCCATCACAAACTTACAGGTAAACTCGTCTAGCTGCAAACAAACATTTATTTGCATCACTTTCAGTACATCCCCGATTACATTCTTCTTTCTAACCAGATAAAATAAGACGCTGCCACCTGAATCTTTTCTGCCACTCTTTGTTAAAAACATGGGAAAGAAGACAGATTATTGCCTTACAGCCTTGAGCCAGGGTTTCACTGCAACCCAAAACGGACAGCCCTTTAACACTTCTGGATTTCTTGGTAATGCAAGGCAGCGATTTTTTAAGTTATGTTACGTTACATCATGTTTATTACTCATGCCGAGCCAAAGCTAACCTCTTCCAACTGTGCTGTGGGTTGTACCATGCAGGAGCGCAGGGGCTGCTTACTTTATTCCAAATGAAAATTTCCTTCCAATCACTGTAGTGTGAGGAGTTTAAATGGCTGGACCTGAATGCAACACAGTTTTAAGATTGGAGAAACTGGTCATAAATGTCGTATTATCTCCTTCAGGCAGTGTACAGAAGCTGACAGATAATGTTTCTCTAGTTTTAACAGAACTCTTCTTGTACTGGTACTATTTCCAACTCTAGTCTTCACTCATCAGACCTGTAAGCTGCGTCATCTGGCATCGCAGAGAGTAAACTTGTATTTCCTCACAGCAGAGTGATCAGCAGCAGTCTGAGAAGATGCCAAATTCTATTTCCTTCAGTGAAAGCTGTCGGCCTGAAGATTAATCGAGTCAGAAACAAGAGGAAGACGGCGTAGCAGCAGTCTGATCCATCTGAGGGGAAATGCACCGCTGCTGACGCCTCAAGCTGTGATCACCTTTCTCTCTCCTGGTACACACACACACACACACACACACACACACACACACACACACACACACACACACACACACACACACACACACACACACACACACACACACACACACACACACACACACACACACACACACACACACACACACACACACACACACACACACACACACACACACACACACCACACACACACACACACACACACACACACACACACACACACACACACACACACACACACACACACACACACACACACACACACACACACACACACACACACACACACACACACACACACACACACACACACACACACACACACACACACACACACACACACACACACACACACACACACACACACACACACCACACACACACACACACACACACACACACACACACACACACACACACACCACACACACACACACACACACACACACACACACACACACACACACACACACACACACACACACACACACACACACACACACACACAACACACACACACACACACACACACACACACACACACACACACACACACACACACACACACACACACACACACACACACACACCACACACACA